CTCTTTTTGATATAACTTATGTGCATCAAAACGTTGCAATAGAAAAAGATACAACCAAGTTTACTGTAAATCAAAACACCTTTGAAATAGAAAATTCGACATTTCTATTGTATAAACTCAATTTTTGAGAGTATTTTGAAGATACTTTGCCCGCCGTAATTGAAGCCAATGGAAATCTTAAAAATGTTTCAATTACGGCGAGGGAAAAAATTTGATCTCGAATAATTTTTCATGAACGCGCCGTAATTGATGCACTTGCCGTAATTGGTACACTAACCCTAAATAAATTGTATTTGAATCCATATTTGCAGGAAATATGTGAAAGTTACAATACAAAATCATTCAAGCTATTAAGAAAGTTATTGATCTGTTAGATTATTATTTTTGTGGTTAAATAGGTTTTTTCTTCTTCTTTTGTTTTTAATTTCTGGAAAAAATGAAAATTTGTAAAAAAAAATGCATTACATTTTTCAAAATGTGATGCAAACAAAAAAAAAACATGTAAAAAAAATTTAATTAGGTAATTATATAATTTTATTGAATAATATTTTGTTCCTTCGGGCTCATTATATATATAATATAATTCTAGAAAATTTTCATTAATCGTATATATTTTCCATGCGGATTTTTTTTTTTTTTGGCTAAATGAAAACTTCACACTTTTACACAGTGAATTTTTTTTATTTCTTTTCTAGTTTATTTTCTAAAAAAGATTTGCTCTAATTTCAAGATGGGAAAGTGGTAAAACTCGTTTGACGTTTGAAAAATTTCTCAAAAAAAAATTCGGATGGCTGATCATATAGACTACTGATTCTACACTATGATGATGACGACGACTCGTCTCACCAGTGTCTTATCATTACGTTCTTTTTTCACTTATCGATCTATATTGATTTTACCTTCCAATTCCGGTGAATGTTCTTATTTCTACAAATATCCACTCAGAGAAATTATACATTAGTATCTCAGAGAGCCAAATGAATATTTATTTGTTGTGAATAAATTTTATTTTATTTAAATAAAAATTTTACTAATGACAAATAAAATTTTTATTCACGACAAATAAATGGCCGACAATAATAAACTGAGAAAAATGTTTAGTCAGAGCAACCAAAATTTGGTTGGGCCAACAAAAAAATTTTTGTTAACATTTAAGCAATCAAACTATTTTTGTTTGAGTTAACCGAAAAATTCGGTTGAATGTTTTTTGTTGGCATAACAAAAATGTTTGATTAGATCAACTAAATTTTTTTGTTAGGTCAACAAACCAACAGTTTTTGTTTTTGTAAAATTAACATTTTTATTCTACCTTATTTCTTTTCATTTTATCTTTTTTATTTATTTTATTATTTATTTATTATTAATTTAACGTTTAATTTATATTTATACAATTGAAATATTTGTGGAGTTTGAAAAATCTCATCTTCGCCTGGGATCGAACCTCATCTGTTTTTAAACTGCGAGTCGGGAGCTCTGACCACTGGACTAACCATTTTTGTTAGAGATTTAAACTAATTTTTCTCTCAAGGTACGAGCTGAAAGCGAATTAAATTATTTGCTTGTCGTAACCAAATTTTGGTTAGGACAACAAACGATCATTTGGTTTTTTAGACCAAAACTATTTTGTTGTGTTAACCAAATTATTTTATTGTCGTAACCAAATTTTGGTTGGAATTTAAAAATGTTCAACCAAATAATTTTGTTGGCCTAACCAAATGTTTGGTTGAGATAACTCTACGACTTTGTTTCAACCAACGAAAATTTCGTTACAAGAATCAAAATTGCCTAACAAAACGATTTTGTTGCAAACACAAAATCTGTACATATATATATATATATATATATATATATATATATATATATATATATATATATATATATATATATATATATATATATATATATATATATATATAAAATTTATTATTTATTTATTTTTTATATTAAATAAGATAATAATTAATAATAATAATTATATTAAATAATATTTAATAAGTTAATTATAATTAATATTATTATTATTATTATTATTATTATTATTATTAATATTGTTTATTATTTTATTCACTTATTAAATCATATAAAAAATATTGTCATACATTTTCTTAAAAAAAAAATTCAATTATTTTTTATTTCTACTTTTATTTTTATTTAATATCAAAAATCGAAATGTCCGGAACTTTTTGAATCACAGATAAAAGGAAGTAAATTGTATAGGTTGTTGATGTTTTTTTCCTTGAAAATGAATCATTTTTTTTTTTTTTTTTTTTTTTGTATATTGTTGATTGTGAGAATAAAATTTTATATATATTATACATTGCGGACGACGACTTCTTTATATATAAAAACGTGACAAGAGATCTTTAAAAGTTATAATATGTGCAACAGTCACGATGTAAATAAAATCAAAATAAGATGCAAATTTAATTAAATAAGAACGACTCTTGATTCCATTAATATATTTATAGGATATTCCTCCCACCTGTATAAAATTTATGAATTATTCAAATCCAAATGCATCTCGAAGGTGTTTTGCCTTTTGATTTCAGAAGCTCATGCATATAAAATTTTTTTTCTATTGTTGAAAGAATTGATCTGATTTATATTTATTTATCTAAATGAAAAACTTTTTTTATTATAAAAATATACATTTCAAATATAATAATTATTATAATTTTAATATTTTTTATTTATTTGTTTTTTTTTGTACATATAAATGTTACAAAATTTTTTTTTTTTAAATTATTTTAAATTTAACTTTTTTTTAATTAAATCAAAGAAAACTTTTGTTTGTATTTTTACTATTTTTTTGTATTATTCCAATTTTTGGGTTATTTCAAACAAAATTTGATTCAAATAATAATTACTTATTTGATCTAAATAAATGTTTTGTTCTTTTTAAATAAATTTTTCGAACAAAGATAAATTTTGATTGGCTGAAATAAAGTCGTAGAGTTATCTCAACCAAACATTTGGTTAGGCCAACAAAATTTTTTGGTTGAACATTTTTAAATTCCAACCAAAATTTGGTTATGACATAGTTCGATCCCAGGCGAAGATGAGATTTTTCAAAGTCCACAAATATTTCAATTATATAAATATAAATTAAACGTTAAATTAATAATAAATAAATAATAAAATAAATAAAAAAGATAAAATGAAAAGAAATAAGGTAGAGTTAAAATTTTAATTTTACAAAAAAAACTGTTGGTTTGATCAAGCAAACATTTTTGTTATGCCAACAAAAAACACGCAAATGAATTTTTCGGTTGGCTCAAACAAATAGTTTGGTTGGCTCAAACAAATTTTGGTTGCTCTGATTAAACATTTTTTTTGGTGTATAATAATAAAATAGTTAGATATATAATTAAATGTTATTAATAGTGAATGTTAAAATAACACTTACCCTTTTTTTTTAAATGCCATATATATGTGATAAAAATTATTAATAATATAAATTTTGTTTAAATATTATTTTTATTAATTTTTTTTAAAATAACCTTCTTTATTTTGCATAATAATGCGGCTTTAACGTCTCTTTGAGTCAGTTTGATTATAATTTATTATCTATGTCCTTAACAAATATTTTCTTTTAATTTCATAATTAATTTAATCAATTTATTGTTTGTTTATTTAGTCTTCAATATAGATTCAAAATCAATATTTGAATAAGTAAATTAACTCACTCTCAACATTTTTTTTTTTTTTTTTTTTTGTTATTTTACTTTAAAATTAAATTTTTAAATTAAAGTTTAAAATTTTTTAAATAATTACAAGTAAATTTAAAAAATAATTTTTTGTTATTTCTGTTAAAAATTATATAATAATGATTTAATAATAAATCAACATTGTCGCACTTGTAAATAAATATTCGGATGAGCATAAAACCAATAATTGATTTATGTGAAAAAATTTTTTAAACTAAGAAGTAAATTTTTTTTTTCCTTTTACATAATAATAATAATAATATCCTCCTGAAACGGTACAATAAATATTACATGGTCACACTTTACTGTATATTCTTTCTAATATGTAGAAGCGCGTAATAATTGTTTATGTTTCCTTTTATAATAATTGTATATAAAATTACCGTTATAATTTTACATAAAGGAATTTTTATTCACTGATTGTCTTTTGATTATTATATTAAAATCATAGTCATGATTGATTTTTATAGGATTTTTTGGAAAAAGAAAATATCGACATTATTTATGTTTCACATATATTTTTATTAAAAATGTAAAATTTTTCCTCTTATGTAAAGTATTTTATCATCAATGAAAAAAAAATTGTAAAATTTAATACTTATATATCCTGTATACAATTTAGTATTTAATTTTATTCAATAAAAAAAAACTTTTATATATATTTACCGATGACATTTTAAATTTGGAAAATATATTTTTTCCGTTTTGTATTTGATTCAAATATAATCGGTTACTTGACTATTTATCAAATAAATATTTACTTGAACCAAATAATTTTTACTTGAATTAAATAAACTATGTATTTGAAACAATAATAATTTCTGTATTTGAAAAAAAAAACATCTCAAATAATTTTTTTTCAGTGCAATGACATCTAACTCTAAAAATATTGAATTTAGGAATATTTTTAAATAGAAAAAAAATTTCAGTTTTCCATCTACTTTTGAAATATTTTTTAACGAAAAAAAAATTCGTTTCAATTTTTATATAAAAAATAACATTTTTTTTATAAGCAAATTAATTATTTTTAACTTTTTTTTAAAATTATTGTATTTTTCAAAATAAAATGTATTTTAGTTTATTGCTTTTCTAATAAAGTAAAAGATCCCATATAGATTCAGAAAAAAATTTGTTTAAATTAACCAAAAGTTTATTTGGCTCAATTAAATTATTTCTTTGTTCGAAAAAATTGAATAAAATAAACATATAAATAAAAATAAATAAATATTTATTTGAATCAAACAAATTTTTTTAATTTTGAAAGAATTTTTTTTTATATGAATCACTCATATTATTTAAATTGCAATATATAGTTATCATTTTAAAATTCTAATTGAGTTTTATAATTGAAATATATCTTTCACATGAAAAATTGCATGTATATACAATGAATGAAATGCAATATATGAACTTATTAATATTAACACATTTTTCGCTTTCAACTTTTAACAAAATCTCATTATAATATAGAAATGTTCATCTTTCATCTGAAATTACACATATTATATATCATTTTTTTTTGTATAAAAAAATACAAATTTACTTTGCATTTTTATGTAGAAGTTTAGATTTTTTTTAAGTAACATCGTATCTACAGTATGCAGTGTCTTTTATAAGATTTTGATTTATCCATTCCTCAGCTGGAGATTGATTTGAAAGTGTTAAAGCATGATTTTCCACTTCAGTTAGAATGCGTAAAAGATTTCCACCTACTAGTTTCTTTATGTCCGATGCTGACCATCTTCTGTCTCTTGTTAATTCCGCTAATAAAAGAGGATAGCCAGAAACATCAGGAAGTTCTGTTGGAGGACTGCAAATGTAAATTTTTTATATTATAGTCACTTTATAACAAATGCAATTTTAAACAATGTTTAATTATTTCAAAAAGTTTAGGGTTAAAAAAAACCCATAAAAATCATTCATTAGAATTTTCATTAGAAATAATTACATATTATTTAGACAAATTTTCATTTTTCTAATTACTATCTGCTAAAATTTTTATTTTACAATCATTTTCTTTACATGACTTTTTATTTAAAAGAATTTTAATTTAACAGGATTTTGCATTCAATCGAATTTTTAAAAAGACATAAATTCCAATTCACCGAATTTTTATTTGTACAAATTTTTAATTGCTAGAATTTTAAAGACTCCGACTTTTCATTTGTCCGAAATTTGAAATGGCCGAACAAACAATCGACAGAAAGATTTTGGCGCAATTTTTAAAATTGACCAATCACGATTTTCTTGATAATTTCTAATTATTGGTCAATTTCAAAAATTGCGCCGAAATCTTTCTGTCGATTGTTTGTTCGGACAAATGAAAATTTGGCGTCTTAAAAATTCTATCAATTAAAAATTCGGTGTGAATTAGAATTTTTGTCATTTAAAAATTCAAATCACATAAATTTTTGCAAGCAAAAATTCGGTATCTAAAAATTTTGTTATCTAAAAATTCGTATAAAAAGAAAATCTTTCAAAAGTTTAATTTTAATTAATTTTTGTTCGAATTTACATTTGACGGAATTCTTAAAACGCCGAATTTGTTATTTAAACAAATTTTTCATTTACACACAGAGAAAAATGGAAAAACTAATAAAGTAACTTTTACTACTTTAAAAGTTAAACATGAAGTGTCCGGACTTTCTGCGCATTTCTGCCAATTTTTACTCCAGAAATAGTAAAATTTACTATTTCTGGAATAAATTTTACTATTTCAGGAGTAAATTTTACTATTTTCGTAGGAAAAATTGCCATAAATGCGCAAAAACTGCGGATAGTTCAGGTTTTACTTTTAAAGTAGTAAAAGTTACTTTATTCGTTTTTTCATTTTTCTCCGTGCAGAATTTTTATTTGTCAGAAAAATTTAGGCGCTAATTTTAAAATAAACCAATCATAATTATTTCGTTGATTATTTCTGATTGTTTAATTTTAAAACTTGCGCCTAAATTTTTCTGATAAATAAAAATTCTGTTAATCAAAAATTTGTTTAAAAAAACAAATTCAGCATTTTAAGAATTATAAAATATTCTAAAATAAGTTCCAAGTATATATATTTCTAAATTTCAGAAAATTTTTTTTACTATCTATTCATCCCTCTTAGAATTTGTTGTTAGAATTTTAAGAATTCAAAATGTTGATTAAATATATGGGTACCTTAAAATTCCATCATAACCAGCACCAAATCCAACATGATTGACACCGGCTGTATTTCTTATATGATTTATGTGCGCTAAATAACAATATAGGATATAAATTAGAACATGAAAAATAAATTGTGTCATCGTTGATTTCTTATCGGATGTTGAAAATGAATTTTTTGTGTAATTACCTATAACGTCGAACAGAGAAGCTTTATCTCCACAACTGAGATGAGCACTATCAAAACTAACCATAACGAGGCCACCATTAAGAGACTGTAACAGAAAAAAAAATTCCCTTTTAACATCATTATCTCTTATATTTCTAAGGAAATAATTCAAAAGTTTTTCTATATTAGATAATTTTCTTTTTGACATTATAGATAACATTTTATTTGTCAATTTTTATATCATCAACTTTACTATTAAGTAAAATCTAAACATATATATTTATATAGTTTTTTAAATTTTGATTTATTTTTAAGAAAAAAATTTAAAAACTATACTGGTTAAAAGTATACTGTTAATTTATAAAAGAAAAATTTTTTGAAAATTGAAAATAAATTACGGATAAAACTTACTAAATTTCTTAATACATCATCTGGAACGTTATTTGATGAATTGCAAAGACTTCTTGCAGCGCTGTGCGAAAAAATAACTGGCGCTTTAGTGACAGCCAGTGCATCTTTCATGGTTCTTATAGAAACATGAGAAAGATCAACTAACATTCCTAATCTGTTAAGTTCTTTGACAACGGCTTTTCCAAATTCAGAAAGGCCATCGCTGTGAAAATCCATTGGAACATCTTCATTTGGATCTTCCACCGATGATGAATCAGCCCTAAAATATTAGGGTACCATTAAAATTTTATTAAAAATCAGTTAAATGAAGGAAAATAGGTGTAGATTTTTCAGACAATTTAACCCGCCGTGACTAAGGTAGGGTCAATTTTACTCTATGAAACTTTTATTCCTCGATAGTTTGAACTAGGAATGCTGAATTTTACTGCGATTTTTATATAAATGCAAATTTTGTTGTGACACTAATAAATTACATTACTAGACAATATAAAACAAATTTGTTAAAAAATTTCCATGATTTTAAGCTTTTCTTAAATATAGAAACAGAAAATCATTATAGGGTAAAATTTACCCTACCTTAGTCACGGTGTTACAAAATTGAACCTTAGTCTCGCCGGGTTAATTTCATTTAATATCATGGTATTAATTATTTTGAAAATTAAAACTTCAAAAATTGAAAAACAAATTTTAAATCAATTTTTTTGTAGACTTTGACCATTTTAAAAATATTTAAATATATATATGTCGTAGGCCGATAGACATTTCAGGCCGTTAGCCAAAATCCTGGCTTATATTCTAATGGCCGGCCAGTAGAATACTACGCTAATGGGCTACTAGACTGACATTCTTCAGGCTATTAGAAGAAACTCTGTTTACATTATAATTCAACACACGTTAATTAATATAAATATTAGTAATTGCCTAATGAGGAAACGAGGTAGGTATTGTTCTTACATTTACCAAAAAGAATAATTTTGAAAATGAGTTTTAGTTTTCAAATAACTTTTGTTTAATTCAGTCACAATATGACCGAAAATATTGTAAATCGTGGCGAATTTGAAGCTAAATTGTTAAGCTTTTATGACAAAAATGCAGCAAGTAATAGGTCAGTGTGGAATAAAATGCACGAGTTAAACGTTATTACATCTCTTATAGAATGTGAGGAAAAAAAAACAAAAAAAGTGCTTGTTTTAAGGCAAATATTCTGTGCAACTCACGATGCCATTTGAGTTCTTCGTGTTGCAATAAATAAAATTTTAAATAAAAATAGAAATTTGAACATGAAATCGTTAAATTATTATTGTTTCCTATAAATTGTTTCTTTTAATGGCCTAAAAATTGTCAGGCTAGTAGCCATCCAGCAAGTTATTCGGCTAATGGCCTATGCTATTGTCTACTGGCCGGCCATTAGAATATAAGCCAGGATTTTGGCTAACGACCTGAAATGTCTATCGGCCTACTACATATATATATATATATATATATATATCTTAAACAATAGCTTAGATTTTGTATATCAAATTGTAAAATGGCCTTTTTAATGGTTTAAAAGTTGTTTAATTTACAAAAAATAGTGCAGCTCGAATTGGGATTAACGAAATGAACTTTTATCCCTAATTTGAACTGTACTTTTTTTTAAAACTAAATAAATTTTAAACCACACAGTAAAAAGAAGATCTTATTTTCAGATGAGTCTTAAAATCAGCGGCATTGCGTAAATTCAGCAATAGGCAGCCTTAAAAATATTGCCTCTTAAAATAAGACCTCTTTTTTTCGGCCTTAAAATAAGACTTTCTTTTTACAGTGCATTAAAAATGCTATTTTACAATTTGATATACAAAATCTACAAAATTTAAGCTACCGTTTAAGATATTTTAAAATATTTTAAAAATGGTCCAAGTCTACGAAAAATTGATTTAAAATTTGTTTTTCAATTTTTGCAAATTTTTTTGGTTATTCAAAAGTATATGAAAAATCCTTTAAAAAAGCTTATTTAAAAATTTAAATCTATATAAAAATAAAGCTATTTTTTTTATAAAGTTTTGTTGCAGTTATATGGATTTAAAAATGACAGTGATACATAAAATGTTTAAAGTTTAACCCCCACTACTTTTTATAATATTTTATTGTTAAAAAATTGAATTAAAATTTGTAATAATGCAAATAATTAAAAACTATTGTTGACTTTAAATCTGAAAAAACTATTTTTTCTTCACTTTTTAATTTATACTAAGGTCAAATTTTTTTTAAGTTGTAACTTTCATATAAAAAAAATTCGGATGCTTGGTTTTAACTTGCTAAAAATTTTAAAAATTGTTTTTCCCTATTTTGTTTCATTTTAATCAACTGTTATGGCTGCGCGCGTCGTCTCTTTTAAGGCCTAATCACAATAGAAACTTAACCGGAATCGTAATCACAATCGCAAACAGAAGAATTAGTAAGAGAAGAATAACAATATATGACTATCCTACTCTAACTCATTCTTCCGTTTACTCTTCCGTTTGCTCAGGCCTTTATTTTTCAGTCAATAATGCCAACAGAATGCGTGAACTTAATATAATAAGCATAACCTAATTTTTAAAATTATGTTGGCATAACTGACTGGAAAATAAGAAACGTCGACGCGCAGCCATAACAGCTGATTGTGCCTAATAATTTAAAATAACGGAAAACAATTTCTAAAATTTTTACCAAGTCAACACCAAGCACACAAATTTTTTTTTTATTTAAAATTTTAGGTTATGTTTGAGATTTTATATTACATTAGATAAAAATTAAAAATAAACGTTTAATGAAGCTAAAACGATCATTAAACATAACCTAAAATTTTTTGCCTCTTTAAGATCCCTTTTATCTCTTGAAGCGTTATATTATGTGTATATTTTTTCTTGTAATAAAAAAAAAAAATCGCACCATGGTGTATTGCATTTGTGCGTAAGGGTCATGTAACGTGCACCGAGTAGATGAAAACTTCTTAAAACTGCCATTGATGAACCAATACTGTGACCCCCTTCAATGCCAACTAAACTTGCAATAACGCCATCCTTATGTGCCCTTTTTAGTTCATCACTTGAGGTCACCAACCTCATTCTTCTTGGATATTTTGAGGCGAGTCTACGAACTACGTCTATTTGCTCTAATGTTAATTGCACTGCGTCTAAAAATTGAGCTTCACATGGAACGTAGGCCGACCAAAATTGTGCACCAACGATGCCTTGATGAAGACGAACTAGGTCAGTTTGCCACTGTGGTCCCCATGTGATATTTTGAGAAAGATCATCCTGGAAAGGAATGTTTCTCACACTACCCTGATGCTTTCGCAATTTCCACGCAAAATCGTTGTTACTGAAAATTGAATTTTTTTTTAAATATTAATAATTTAGCATTTTGTTTTTATGCGATTTAATAAAAGTTTATTAAAAAAATCTTTATTTTACCGACTAATGGTAAGGTAGATTACTACATTTTCAACTGTTGGTAAACTCAATTTTTGACATCTCTTATTTATCAAGCGACGATAAGGTACATTATTAACAGCGGGTTAAGCATAAAATTGTGTTTTCCTTTTTTACCGACTTATGGTAAGGTAGATTTCTACATTATCTTCAATCGGTAACTCGTAATTTTAGTTTTCTTTCTTTACCGACTAATGGCAAGTCTCTTATTTATCATGCGACGATAAGGTACATTATTAACATAGGGTTAAGCATAAAATTGTGTTTTCCTTTTTTACCGACTTATGGTAAGGTAGATTTCTACATTATCTTCAATCGGTAACTCGTAATTTTAGTTTTCTTTATTTCCGACTAACGGCAAGTCTCTTATTTATCAAGCGACGATAAGGTACATTATTAACAGCGGGTTAAGCATAAAAATGTATTTTCCTTTTTTACCGACTTATGGTAAGGTAGAGTTCTACATTATCTTCAATCGGTAACTCGTAATTTTAGTTTTATTTCTTTACCGACTAATGGCAAGTCTCTTATTTATCATGCGACGATAAGGTACATTATTAACAGAGGGTTAAGCATAAAATTGTGTTTTCCTTCTTTACCAACTAATGGTAAGGTAGAGTTCTACATGATCTTCAATCGATAACTCATAATTTTGTTGTAACTAGTAAATTTTATTCTTCTTTATCGACCAATAGTAAGGTAGATTCTTAAATTATCAGCACTTGAGCATTTGTTTGTCATATCTTTTTTTTTAACCACTGATGAAAAAGTGGATTCATAAATTACCATCAGTAGATAAATAGTCAACTCTACTTCATTAGTCCTTAACCGACTGATGGTAAGTTGGGCCTTTACATTTTTAGCAGTTGGTAACTAGTAAATTTTTGTTTATCTTTGACGCCTGATAGTAAAGTGGTTACATGCATTATCATTAATCGGTAATTTAATTTATCTATTTTACCGACTAATGGTAAGGTAAGTTTCTACCTTATCTTTAAACTTTTTAAAAATAATAAGTACTTTGAAATTCTATTACACTATAATTATTAATAAATATAAAATTTTAAAGGAAAAATAATTTTTTTTTTCTTGATTTTTAAAATATACTGACCCATCAATGAGGGGAATTTCAGATAAAATCCTCCGGACAACTTGAAGTCTGGCTTCTAATAAATGTGAGCTACTAAGTTCTAAAGCTAATGGTAATCCAACTCCTGCAATTAATGCACAACCCAATAGAAATACGCCAAAAGTCATTGCACATTTTCGTCCCACGCTTCGTCCTAAAATAAAATAAAAAATAATTAATTAATATCAAATAAAATTTTTAAAATAATTTTTATTTCAATCAAATAATAAACTTTATATTTCTCAGTGCTAAATAAATATTTATTTTGTTTCAAATAAATTTTATTTGCTTTAAATAAAAATTTTGATTAATGCTTATTAAATAATAATAATAATGAAAAAAAAATTTGGTCTAATAATTTCAAAAAAGTTATTTAGCACTAGAAAAACAAAAAAAAATTATTTAACATAAAAAAATTAAAATTTTTGAAATTTTAAATTATGAGTTTGAGAAATTCTGATACAGTTATAAAAATAAAAAGGAACTGTTTTTTAACGCGGTTGAATTATGAAGAAAAAAAAACATTCCTTTTTAATTTTGTGTAATATAAAAAATTTTTTAATGAAATTTTTTAAAACTAAATACATTACAATAAATATTAAGTTATAATTACTTTTTTCACGAGGTGCAACTTTATTTTTTTCTAACGTAGCGGATATCACTGTGTCTTTAACGTGATGCAAGGCATCTCCATTTGGTAATTTCCTATATAGTTCTTCCGATGAATGTTGTAAACACGTCTGAAATTGAAAATATTATTTTGAATTAATTTTCTTATATAAATTATAATAAATTAATAAATAAAAAATACTATACTTTAATTATAAATAATTGAATTGAAAAAAAAGAAATGTTTTACATATTTTATTTTACGAACAGGACAAATATCATTTCAAAATTCATAAAACAAAGTTTTGTATAATTCGAAATTTTTTTTTTAAATAATTTTATTTTTTTTTCAAATGAAAATTTTTTTTATGAATTTATTAACATATTTATGTTTCTTATTATTATTATTATTATTATTATTATTAGTATTAGATTATTATTATTTTTATGTTAATATTATTATTATTATATAAATTATATTTATTTTTTTATTATTATATAAATAATTTTATTATTATAAATTTATTTAAATTATATAAATTTATATAAATTTAGTTTTATGTACGTTGGAAATTAATTGTTACTATAAATATTATAATTTTCTATTTGTAAATAAATTATATTTTAATACATTTCATTCAAGTTCAATATTTTTATTTTTCTACTAATATTTTATTTCGAAAGTTTTTAGTTTAGAATATATATATTTTTTTTTTCAAAAATTAAGTGAAAAAAATTTTTTATTAGAAAATTTGAATTTTTTTTTACGGTTACTTATATATTTGTAAAATCAACGGTCGATATATTAATATAAATATTATAATGAAGAGAAATTTTTTTTTTTTTTTTTGTTATCTACCTCTAGTATGTCAACTTCATTTCTTCTTGGGGGTCCTGAATGATAAACAGTCCCATCTCTACCGACCCCATACAAGTCAAACATAATATATTTTTTATTTTCTTTTATTTTGTTTTTTTTTTTTTTTTTGCTTGTTATTCTGAAATTAACAACGTATTTCTCTTACAACAAGGTGTGCCAGACTCATCTTCGCGAATCAATATAAGCGCTTGCGCCAACCCCTTATCGACCCAAACCGGAAAATAATTCAAATTATTATAATTAATTATTTATTATTCTCTTATAATCATTAAATTTTATAATATAATATTAATTGTTATGGAAAATTTTTATTTTATTTTGAAAAAATTAATTAAATATTTACAAAAAAAAATTTTTATATTTTATTCAAAATGAAAATGAGATTTAATTAAAAATACTCATTGTAAGTGATTTATTAATTAATATCTAATTTAATTAGTAATTAATCACTATAATAAATTGTGATTAATTATTTTATCGATAATTATTGTTTTGAATAAATAATAAAATAAATTTTAAATACATTTTTATTTATTTACGAAAGTACTTTTTTTAACTAAATAAAAGTATCAAAATTCATTATCTATATTCTCTTTATTAATGAACTTTTTTTTTTTTATTTATTTATTACTATCTTATAAAATAAGCCATAGAAATGTTTTTTTTTTCTTGAAAATTTGTAAAAATATTTTTAAAAATTCCCGCCTCAATGTATCGTTTCCGAGATGCGCATACGACATGCGCACACGTGACGCGGTTGTTGCATTTCTCGCGCCGGACGACGCCATATTGTTTGAAACTGGTCGTTTGTGATATCGTGCATCGCACTTTGTATTTATTGTTTGTTTCGTGTGCCCCAATTCGGGAAAACTACAAAAATTCCGCGCAATATGAAGAAAACAAAGGACGTATCAGAGGAGGACGAATATTCTGCGGACGATCCTGAAGAAGTTGAAGGTGGTGGTTCAGAGGAAGATTGGGCACAGGAGGCAGGAGCAGAAGTAAGCCCCACGCCACTTAATTTTAATACTTACGAATATTCCTTATTCATCGATTTATGTTTAATTAATAATTTTTCATTTCACCTTTAATTGATAATCTATTTTTGTTTTTTTTTTATGTTTATTGTACAAATTATTTCGAAGCGAAATCTTTCATAAAGTCGCAATCGAAAATTCATTACAAAAAAATTTTTTTTTTCTTTCAACAAGTGTATTTTGCAATAATTTATTTTTTTATTGTTATGATAAATTATAATTGTGTGATCGTGTAAAAATAATGTTTAATTATTTTTACAAACGCCACAATTGATACTGATTAAATCGATTATTAATGTGAGTTATTCATTGAGAAATGTCGTGTAAGTTATGTATATATATTTGACTTCCGCCCAATGCAAAATAACCACGCTACTTATAAAGGGAAAATAATTGTTTCGTATTTAATGACAAAATAATTAATGTTTATTGATGATATTTTTAGAAATTGATTTATCAAATTTAATTTATGAACTTTGACTATTGAGTGATAATGTCATATTTAAAAGGTTTTGTTTCTTTATAGTTTTTCATGAATTGGCATTCACGCGAGCTTTCATTGCCGGCCGGCCAATGGCGCCGGCTTTATTCATTATTTCAAACTACAATATAGTCATATATACGTATGTACTATCTTTGCTTGACAAAGTAGCGTCCTTCGCGATTTAATTCTCGTCCATTTTGCGCAAGAACTAAACACATGTAATTTTATACAAGTGCGTCATTAATCAATATATCATTTACAAAAAAAGTTTCATCTAATTAGTTGATAATTAAAATTTACCATTCTTATTAAATTAACATTTTTTATGTGCCTTATAAATTTTTTTTTTTTTTTAAATTACTTCTGCAATGAAAAATAAAAAAGTATATTAAACACTTGAAAAATTATTCAAAGTGCTCAAGTGAATATGATGAGAATATAAAAATTTTTTCCACAAATTTTTCAATAATTGAAAAATTTTGAAATTGATAGGAAATGTAGAAATTTTCATTTATTTCATTCGTGTAAAATTTATTATTTTTTTATTTTAGATAAAATTAATTTTTAATAATAGAATCGATTAAATTTAATAAAACTTGTGATAATGATTTTTAGGGTGCTACTAAAAAACGGCCTCAAAGAGGTGCGAAAAAACGACCACATAACGAAGAGGAGGAAGACGAGGAGGAGGAGGACGAAGAAGAGGAAGATGATGAGGAAGATGAGTCTGATTCCGATCTAGAACAGAAGCTAAAAAAGAAGAGACGTTCTAAGAAAGATGAAGAGGAGGAGGAAGATTCAGATGATAATGGTTTTGACAACACCACAGGATTTCCACCCAAAGATTACACTGTAAGTGTAGTTTAAATAAAGAGAATTTTATTTTATTAAAATAATAATACTTTATTTATTAAGTATATTAAAAAAATATTTATCAATTATGATAGAAATTAATAAAAATTAAGAAGGTGAAAATAAACGAAAACATGCGGACAAAAAAATAGTTTTAATTAGTTTATTTCAATATTTTAAAATTTAAATGAATGGCCGAATGTTTTCGTTTATTTTCACCTTTTTTTTGATAATATTTCTCGAACGTAAAAAATTAAATAATAAAATTGGAATGATAATAATAATAATTTTTTAAATTTTTTCTTTTTTTTCGTTAATATTTAAACATTATTTAAATTACAGTCAGGGGCTTTTGTCGTTGCGAAATCAGATATTGGCCAAAGCACAGATCCCACTTTGTGGAGGATAGACGGAAAAGCACTTCTTCAAAAATATTTACCCTTCAAAGACGATGGAAAGACATTGTATAAAAGCACGTCAACCGTAAGTAACTGTTTTTTATTTACAATTAAATTTTATTTCAATAATTTTTTTTTTTAATATTTCAGGATGTTTAAAAAAAATTTATGAAATTTAACAATTGTTTACAATTTAAAAAAAAAATCAGCAAATAAAATTACAAAAAATTTTAATAATTTAAAACCTTTTAAAATTTTCCATCTAAAACTTTTTGTAATTTAATAATTTATATTATAACTCTTCCGAAATTCAATTATTTTTAATTAATTCTTATAATATTTTTCAAAAATTCAATTATCTGAAAGCATTTTTCAGTTTAAAAATTTCAATTTTTGTCCTTAATTTTTAATAAGTTCTTCAACAGCAGAAATCACCAAAAAAAAATTACAATTAAAAATCACTTGAATTCAATTATTTTCAAAAATTTCAATTTAAAACCTTATAAAATTTAATTATTTCTTAAAATTTCAACTGTAACTCTTCTACAATTTAATGATTTTAAATAATTTTTATAATATTTTTCAAAAATTCAATTATTTGAAAGCATTTTTCAATAAAAAATTTTTGAAACTCAATTTTTGTCCGTAATTTCAAATAAATTCTTTATCACCAAACAATTTAAATTAAAAATCTCTTAAAGTTCAATTAATTTCAAACATCTGGATTGTAAATCTATGAAAATTCAATCAGCGGTGGGCTTTGCTGCTGCACCTATTTACCGAATGTGCAATGAAATCAATGTAATGTGTTTTCATCATGATAAAAATATACATTTTTTTGGAATGTCTCTTAACACTTTCAAGAGCGTTATTAAAGTCTATATCATTGCTCGACGTTAAGAATCTAGTTCATTAAATAATAGAATGCAATCGAAATTAGATCATTTATCTTTCTTCCTTTATTCGTACGATCGATGAAATATGTTATTTTTGTTTATGAATAAATCTCTAATTAAAATTAGGATCTTATTAATTAATTTTGTTTTTCTCAAGAAAGATGAGATACTCTATTTTTGTTAATATACACATAGATCTTATATAATAAGATTATTTTATATTCCTAACATAATTTAAAATGTATTTGTCCTTTAATGGTCATTTGACCGTGGGCTTGATATTTTGTTACAAAAAAAAAAAAAAAATTTAAAAATGTTATCTAAAATTTAACAAAATCTTTTGAAATTTAACTATTTCTTAAAATTTCAACTGTAACTCATCTAAAGTTTAATTATTTTTTAAATAATTTTAATATTTCTTTAAAAATTCAATTATTTAAAAAAGTTTCAAATAAAAACTCTAAAATTGAATTGTTTTCAGAATTTTGTTTTTTAATTTGTCCTACTTAATTAAAATTGAGGAATTAATGAATGAAAAATAAATAAATAAATAATAAATAATAATAAATTAATTAATAAATGAATTTAATATCTAATAACATTAGTTATTTAAAGTAAAATACTTATTAAATAATTAAATTTAATTAAAATAAAAAAAATCGCCTTTTTTGGAATGTAAATCGACTAAAACGACTTTATTTGCTCCTTAAAGTTAATCCGGTACCTGGGGGTTATGTAAAAATTTAAAATTTTAAAAATATTGTTATTATTCCAACAGATTTTTTTCACCTGAAGAGGAAACCAACGTTGGTTTCGAAACTTCGTGTATGACGGTTTTAAAAAATGAACATTTATCCAGTTTATTTCCTGATTAAAAATTTATTTGTTCTATAATATAGTAATAATTTTTATAATTATTTATTTGTCGAATAGATTCTTTAGTTTATTTGTAATGTAATTAATTTTGTTTTTAGTACTCTGGATGGTCTGTAAACAACAAGGATAAATACCTTGCTGCACAAGTTACCTTCAAGGTGCAAAATAGGTCGGAAACAATTGTAGAACTACATCTTGATACACAGCAGCAGGAAGTAGTCAAGTAAGTTAATCGAAAACAAAAATTTTCATTTACCATTTTATATAGTTATAAAAATGAAGAAAAACAAAAGTTTAAAAAATTCCCAAACATTTTCCTTATATAACAGAAAATTTGTTTTTAAAATAAAATTTAAATAAAAAAAAATATATATATAAATTCTCCTTTTTTTTTGTTTACAGAGAAGAGAAGGAAGATTAAATATAGCACGAATGCGTTCTTGTCTGTTTATAATATGAGTTAAGGTACAATAAGACATTTTCAAATATATGGACACATCCACGCAGTGGAAAAAGTGGTATTTTCAAAAAGAGAAAAAAAATGAAAAAAAAAGTAAATAAATTGTGCCACAAAGAATGGTCAAGTTATTGTGTAAACGACTGGACGAATTTGTATGACTGATAGTTTTTTGAGTTTAAAAAAAATACACACACACATACACACATTTTTTTGTTTTCTTTACAATAAAAGAAAAATAATAATTAAATACAATTCAGGCTACGTAAACGAGTGTCTGTTATAATGTGTATCTGAAAAAAATACCACAGTGTTCTGCGAATTTTTAATTTCTTTGTACATGATGGACTCGTTAACTTAATGTAGCATATTGCTCAGTTCTATTTTAATGTATTGTGCTTTGTATCTAACTATAAATATGACTTTACATTACATTTTTGTTTTTTTTTTTTCTATTTTTTTTATAATGTTCAGTTAAAGCAGACAAAAAGGTATACAAGCATTTACATAATTTGTGTCATGATTTGTTATTAAAAAGCAAATCTACAAAAAAATTTATTTGTAAACATTATGTATTGTTCGAAACTTAGCAAGTTTTGTAATTACAATGATAATTCGCATTGATTTATATTAATAATAATCTAAATTATAAAAATGAATCAACTGCTATTAATTTTTTTTTTTTTTTTTTTTTTTTTTTTTGAAATTTATATAATTTGTATTTTTCTTTTTTAGCTAAGAGGTTTTTTATTTTCATTAAAAATGAAAATATCAGGTTTTTTTTTTCATAATATCTAAAATTCTCATGGATTTTTTAATTTAAATCATTGAAATTTAATTTCTTAATTTTTATACACGTGTATTTATTGACTATATAACCAAATTTACTTTTGGTTGAAATTTTGTTTAACAAATAAAATTTGCGTTTAATAAAAACTTTCTCTTTTAGTAAAATATTATTATTTAACAGAAATTTCATTTAATCGAATTTTCCGTTGACATAATTCTAAATTCATTCTAATTTAATGGAATGGAATTTTCTTTTTTGAATAACTTGGTGACAAGGCAACGGATAAAAAAATTGTCATGAGCAGAAATTTTTGGCTTATATTTTTAAATATATAATAATAATAATATAATATATATTATACAGTATATATAATTTGATACAAACTATTGTTCCCTAAGTGTTTTATTACAGCTGGTTTAAAAATCACAGTAATTTTATATTAGAGCTGATGAAATAGGTTCAATAATGTTTATTCTATTATATATATAACATATAAAATTAAATATTTCTTTAAATATAGTCGTATAAAAATGTGTCTCTCATTTTTATTTTGACATATATATATAACATAAATTTAGGCTTTGAGAGAATGTTTCTGGTGTAACTATCAATGGAAGGAAGTCGTATTAACAGTCTAATTGTTATACGAAATATAAAAAAAATATATAATATTATTTAGGCTTTAACAAAATATAGAAGCTCATTATTTAATCTTTCACATAGAATATTAAATATTTTTAGATCAATTTTAAATTAATTATTTCAAACTGATTTTATTCCTCAGTATGCGGATTGTTTTTATTTTCAATCTTTGATATTGATCTTGAGTGGTTTTTTTTTTTTTATTATTATTATTTATTAGTAGTCCTTTACATTTTCCTTGATTGTTTTTTTTTTTAAATAAATTAATTTACAAATATAATTCAAAATTATTATGTAATTTGAAAATATTTATGTTTTATATATATTTTCAAAATATATAAATATTTATGTATGTATTAAACAGTTTTGTGTGTTGAAAATTTTTGAGTAGAAAATTTTTTAATTTAAAATTGATTAACAATTTTTAAATATTATCTAGAGTAATAATAAATAAGATGAAAAAAGACAAAGTAATTGACGAGTGGTCCCATAAATAAATAGAAAATATATATGTGCAATAACTTTAGTATTTTCTATATATGTACTAAAATGTTTTTTTTTTTTTAATTCTGTTCCCTTTTTGAGAATTTAAATTTCTCATTTTAAAAATATTGAAGTCTATAATTTTATATCATATAAATTTATTATTCACTAATAATTAATAACTATTGTAGCTTATTTAATTCCCTACTTTTCAATTCATAAAATTTATAATAAACAATTTTAAATTCTACTTAAACTTGTATAACGTATTTCATTATTTAATTATACAAAAGTGGACCATAGTTTTTTTTTACACTATTTTTAAGCATCATAAATATCTGGTGCTTGAAATAGTGTTAATAATATAGATATATATAAAATTACATTTAAACAAAAAAAAAAAAAAAAAAGTTCTATATAAACTGTAAAATGATCAACGAGGTAATAATTATGTATATATCTTTGATTTATGAGTGGAAATTCTTATTTTGAGGATTTCTAATTACCCTGTGCCCAAGTGCAAATTATCAATATAAAGCGAAATGAACTTGAGGAAGAATTGGACAGACAGTCAAAACAAAATTAATAGTCTGACTACGCATTTTCGTATTTATAAATAAAAAAAAGGATTTCTTTGAAAAACAGTTTTTCAATAAAAGCTGGTATGAGGCATTTTATTTTCCACATTTTCAGACCTCGGATTATATGACTTTTTCCGACTTATTTTAATAAAATGCGACTTTGACTTTTTTTTACATTTAAAAAAAAAAAAATTTTTAAACAAAATACGTTTTTTTTTAATATGCAATGCAGATATTCTTTAGATCTTCTTTATTTCAATTATTTAACAAATTTTTAACTAAAATTCTTCACTAAATTAATTATTTTTAATAATTTTAATGAAATTCTTTACAAATTCAATTATCTTAAACTATTTTTCAATTAAAATTTTTATGAAATTTAATAAATATTTATAATTAAAAAAAAAAAATTAGTAAATAAAATTGCCAAAAATTTTTAATTCAAAATCACTTGAAATTTAATTATTTGAAAAAATTTCAATTGTTTTTAATTTTATAATTAATTTGAATTATGACAAAATTTTAAATTCAAATAAATTGATTAAGTCAGACTTAAAAGAATTATAAAAATGGAACTTTAAGCATTTTTTTTTTAGAAATTTGTTCTACTTAAATAAAGTTTTGAAAATTTTTCTTACGATTAGTTCGATTCTGAAATATTCGAAATAAAATTTCTCTTGATAATATTCATTATAAAATTATTCTTATTACAGAAATTATAAAATGAATTTAATATCTAATAACATTAGTTATTTAAAGTAAAATACATTTATTAAGCAATTAAATTTTGTAAAAATAAAAAAAATCGACTAAAACGACGTTTTTTGAGCCTTAAAGTTGATCCGAGGCCTGCATTTTGAATCATTAAAAAATTGCATTTGGAAATAAAGATTATTTCTTACTAAGTAAAAATTTTTTAAATTTTACTTTACGTTGCATCCTCTCTAAATTTGAATTAGTTAAAAATAACTATTTTGATAGCAAAAAGTCAGTCACTGATTCAAAGAGCAATATTTTTTACTAATCTTTTAGTTAAAAATAACTAATTATTAATTAAATTCACTTTTAGATTGTGTGAAAATAACTAAAATTTCTAGTAATTAATTCAATAAAGTTTTGATTTTTTTTTAAATTATTTGTTAAATAAAAATTAGTTACTATTAATTTTTTTTTTACTTATTGCTGAAGCAAAAAATCAGCAAATATTTGAGTAAAAATTTATTATTTTTAACTAATTCTATAATCAAAAAAATAATAATTTTTCTTTAAATACATCTTTTAATGGTTCAAAATGTTTTAAATTAATTATTGTTTACCCTTTTACTGAAATACTTTTTAAAAAGTAATTTCTTTTCTTTATTTAAAAATTAAAAATTGGCAACTTGTTTCGATTTTTTTTTTCTCTAAAAACCCGGTTCCATTCTAACTGAGAGAACACTACTCAACATTTCGCGAATCTCAACAATTCCCCGTTTACTTTTAACAACCATTTTTTCAAGTTTTTTATTTTTCTGCATTATTTTCTCCATTTTTCGCCAACATCGTTCACTACTTTCATGATAACAACAACCCATATGATTTGCGTCATGTTTACAAATTTGTCCAAGTTTATCATTTTGACAACAAAGATGACGATTTTCTGAGCAACATTGATTATCACCTGTTGCCTCATCACACAAATGATTATTTACATCACTATCATCATCATCGTCATCATTATCATCGGATAATTTAGAATCAGATTCATGAACATCATCTAAATCAATATTTAAAGTTTCTTCCATTTCAGAAACTTTTTCACAAACACGATCTCTTATATTTGACACCAATTGTAATGGATTTGGTCGATTTTTCATTTCTATATTTATATCAATAGAATTTGCATCAAAAGATTTATCATCATTTTCAATTGTTGCATTCGAATCAAAAGATTCAAATTCATCATAAATTCTCGCTTGTCTTTTTAAACTTCGTTTTCGATTTGATATTACTGTATCGCAACTGCCATCTGAAAATGTTGTCGCACCACTGGATCTTCTACTTTCTTCAAATGTCATTGATCTATTTAATATTTCCAATGGTACTTCACTTAATTGTCGTGAAACATTTGGTAAATTATGATTATCATCAACAATTGATTGTTTTTGTTTTTTATCATTTTTCAATTCTATATTGTGCTTGTTAGTGGTAAATTCTTGTTGGTTCATTATTTCATTTTTATTGAAAATATTTCTATCGTCGTAATTATTTGTACTACTTGAACTTGATGCTTGATTTCTTATTAAATGTAAATTATCATTTAGAGAATATCTTCTATTTAGGGGTTTAATTATTTTATCAGTTATTTGATTGTCTATTAAATCAATTGAGTCAGAATTATTTGTCGCTGATTTTATCACATCATTTGTGCTTAAATTGATTTTTGGCGATTTTGAATCAATTTCTATTAAATCCCCATCACAGCCAAAGGCAAATGATCTTTGTCCTGAGGAAAGGAAACAAAAAGCAAACAATATTAAAATTGAGTTTTATTTCATAAATATTATTTTATTAATCAATTAAGAATTTATTACTCTAGAAAATTATAAAAAAATTCACTTATTTCATTTTAAGGCTAGAAGAAAATATTTTAAAATTGAAAGAAAATACAACTATAAAAATTTTTTTTTATAATTTTCTAAATTAATAAATTCTGTTGAGAAAATCGGTACTCGAAACGTTAAAAAATATGGATTTATCTTTTATGTATTTCCAAAAATGTCATAACTTTTATTTGATTATTGAATTATTATTGGGACAAAAATATAAATTTTTATTATTTTATTAATACAAATTTCAATTTAATTAAATTTTACTCTATCCAAATTTTTAATTCAATCCTTAATTTTAATTTAAATTTCCAGTTATACGCATTTTAATCAATTCTATAATTTTTAATGGCCAAAACAAATTTTTTAATTCAATAGATTTAAATTTGAAATTAACGAAATTTCAATCTATCTAAAGATTTGATTTCAATTTCAATTTATACAAAATTGAATTTGTAAAAATTTTAATTGATTTAAGTTTGAAAATTTTGATTGATTTAAATGTCAATTTATTCGAATTTCAATTTGTAAAAATTTTTTAAAAATTTATTTAAGTTTCAAATTATCCCTATTTCAATTTATCCAAATTATAGTCGATGTAAGTTTAAAATAATCTGAATTTTAATTGATTTAAGTTAAAAAATTATTTTAATTACAATTTATTTAAATTCCAATCTTAATTTTGTCATGAGAAAAATTTTTAACGTCACAGGGAAATAAAAAACTTTATTTTTGTGGCAATTTCGATTATTTAGTATAATAAATTGAAAAAATACAAACCTATAATCATGCGTTTATTGCGCATATCCGGACTTTTAGAACGTGGCTGATCTAAAAATTGTCTATTATCTGGAGATAAAACAGATAATCTTCCTTCTTGTATATTTTGTTCATTGCCAACATTAAATCCAGAATGCGTTTCAATTTCATGACTTTCGTGCTCTCGTAATCGTTCCATAATTTTTTGAACTATTTCTGAAGGAGCTACATATGGTGAACCTTGAATAACAAAAAAAATATATATAAATATTTATTTTACTTGCACAATTGGAAATTGATTTTTTTTCCCCCCATTTAATTATATACATATATATACCTTTTTGAATTTTTAAAAATTTAATTTTTCTATATTATTTCAATAACACAATACAATACATGTGAAATAATTTCAAAAAATTACTACTCAACTGTAACATTGATTCCATAAAAAATTGCATGCAAATTTATAGAAAGAAAAATAATAAAAATATGCTATAAATAGAGTAAAAAAAATCTTATTTTAAGTTACGTAGCAAATTAAAATTTACTGAGAAAATCAATTAATTTTTAAATATTTTACAATTTAAAATAAGACTTCTTTCTTTTCTATTAAAATAAGATTTTCTTTTTTTATTAATTATTTTATAATATTGAAGATAATACAAGATATAAAATTACAAAAATAATACAAACATAAAAAAAAATCAATTTGTTTCTACATGAAAAATAAATTAATGAAATTCTTAAAATTCAATATATCAAAAAAAAAGAGACGAGAGTCTCGTGCTCATCTCTTATAAAAAAAAAATAAATTAATGAAATTCTTAAAATTCAATATATCAAAAAAAAAAAAAAAAAAAAAACGATAGTCTCGCGCTCATCTCTTGTAAAAAAAATAAAATAAAGAGAGGAAACAAATATAATAAAACAACGTGTGCTAAATAAAAGTAACGAAATCCTCACAATTTAAATATTGAGTGTATAATTTTGTGTTGCATTAAATATTCACTGTAATTACCTAACTAAAAAAAAAAAAAAAAACAATGTCTGTGAATAAAGCAGCAAATTATTTTAAAAAATTATCTTGCGCGTGCCTTGGCATATAAACAAGTCAATATAAAGCGCAAAATAGATATATTTATATAAACTAATATTTAACAAAAATGTTTAAAATATATAAAATATATTTCTGTAATTATGAAAATTATATTTTCACGACACTCAATCTACAAAACTTACAAAATTAATAGGTCCTGAATGTCGACGGCGTCTAGTTTGCGATGACACTCTTATTTTGTCATCGTTTCCTATAAAATTACGCAATTATTTTCCTATTTTTTTTTTTTTTTTTGTACGATGATGAAAAAAAATTCCTATATCACATGTTTTTTTGAAAAACTATTTCCGTTCCTACGTTTTTTTTTTGTTCTATTTTCTTTTATTTAAATTTTTTTTTTTTGTAATTTATTTTTTTTAATTTCTATATTACAAACTTTTGATTAATATCCAATAGAATTGTGTAGGTAATTATTTTTTAAATGTAATTTATAATTTTGAACATACATACCTGTTAATCCTCTATATCCAAGAGATGCAGTGTCGAGAGATTCATTTGTCTCTTGTTGTTGTTTTACAAAATCATTGATTGCAATGCCTTTTAATTTTGATGGTTGTAGAAATCGTTTAGGTATTCTGGAAAGTGGACCATTTTCTTGGGGACTACTTGGATAACCACCGAATCCTAAATTTAACAATACAGCCTCAGGATCTGCTTTTCTTAGTTCTAAAAAACTTTCTACACTGCTACAATGACTGCTATCTGATTGTAGACTAGGATCACGTATCAATCGATGATGAGGAATTGGACTGAAATTTTTCAATTTTTTATTAATTATATTAAAAAAAATTAAAATATAGATAAAATTATATAATATACATAAATAATAGATCAGTCGATTATAATATTTTAATTCGATTATTCGAATAATTAATTGTTATTAATTATATTGAATTTGAGTGGTGAACTTTTTTTTATGGTTTTCACACTAAAAGTACAAAAAATTCAATACTCAATCTTTTGTCACCTGGGTCACAGAATAAAGTCACTTTACATTATTATTATAGTTGACAATTAATTATTTATAAAAAAATTATAATACTTTGCAGAAATTATTATTTCTAATTATTATTTAAAGACATATTTAGTAATGAAAATAAAAAATTATATTTTATAATTTATTTTATATATTTTTATTTGTTATAATTTATTAAATGTTAATTTTCATTTACAAAAATTCAAGAAAAATTTTTCCAATAACTGGCCTTGGATCTCGAATTTAAGGCACAAAAAAAGTCGTTTTAGTCGATTTATATTCAAAAAAAAAGTCGAAAATGTCGATTATTTTTATTTTAGCAAAATTTAATTGGTTAATGAATATTATGCTTTAAATAACTGTTCTTAGATATTAAATTCATTTTATTAATTCTGAAATGAGAATAATTCTATAAAAATATTATCAAGAAAATTTATTTCGAATATTTCAAAATAGAATTAATTTTGTAAGACAAATTTTCAAAATTGTATTTAAGTAGGACAAATTTCTAAAAAAAATTCTTAAAGTTCTATTTTTATAATTTTTTGAAATCTGATTTAAGCAATTTATTCGAATTAAAAATTTTGTCATAGTTTTTAGTTTTGATGGTCAAAAAAATTTCAGGCACTACTTAATCAAGTTTTATAGATTTTTAAATAAAAAATTTTTTTTTAATAATAATTTTGAAAGAATTAAAGTTGAAATTTTTAGAAATAATTGAATTTTAAAAGATTTTATTAATTTTCAGACAATAATTAAATTTTACACCCAGAGAAATGATTTATTTGAACCAAATAAAATATATTTGAGTTAAATAAACGTATATTTATCTCAGAGCCTACTAACTTATTTATTCAAGTGATTTTTAATTTAAAACTTTTTATGATTTCACTAAAAAATTTATTAGAATTTGCAGACAAAAAATACAATAATTTGAAAACTTTTTAAGTGAAAAATAGATTCAGATAGTTGAATTTTTGAAGAATATTATAAAAATCATGAAAAATAATTGAAATTTTTGCAAATAATAAAATTGCAAGTGATTTTGTATTAAAATTTTTTGGTAATTTTATTTACTAATTTTTCTTTTTTAATTATAAATATTTATTAAATTTCATAAAAATTTTAATTGAAAAATAGTTTAAGATAATTGAATTTGTAAAGAATTTCATTAAAATTGTTAAAAATAATTAATTTAGTGAAGAATTTTAGTTAATAATTTGTTAAATAATTGAAATAAAGAAAAGATCTAAAGAAGATCTCCATTGTATACTAAAAAAACGTAAATTTTGTAAAAATTTTGTAAAAAAAAAATTTTTTAAAAGTCGTATTTATGAAAAAAAAGTCGTATAATCCAAGGCCTGTAATAAAAATTTGAAGACGTCCGTGAAGTTCACGTTTATGATCAACGATTGAGAAGAAAAAATATTTTTCTATGCAAATTATTATTATTTTTGATCCCAAAAAAATTTTTTTCCAACATTTCTTGATAAATAATTTTTTGAAATAAAAAATTGAAAGGCAAAAAATTTTTAATAATACAAAAAATATTTGTAATATATAATTAATTAAAATTAATATAGGACTTTGAAATTTGTATCATTAAAAGAAAAAAAAATTTTAAATATATACTTTAAAATTTTAAATATATTTCAACATTTTCTGTCACCTAATTTAGGAATAAAAATTCTCTTTTTCACACCTATATTTTGAAAATTGTATTGTAATTTTTTTTTAAATTGTGAAACTGTTTCGCTGTTAATAACAATAGTAAAACAAAAAGCAAAAAAAAAAAAAATAAATAAATTCAAAGACAAAATAAAATTAAAACAAAAGAAAATTGAAAAAAAATCATATTTTGATTAAGTTTTTAAACCAAAATAGAAATTTTAATTTATAATCTCTTTGAGGCATAAATTTTTTATGCAAAAGAAAACCATTTTTTTTTTATTTTAAGATTTTTTTTTTCTAAATTTTGAATTTTAATGACTTCAGTAAAAAAAAATTGGGTTTTTGTAGCTATAATTACCCCAATTAACGGAATTGAAAAAAAATTATTATTTAAATTTTATCTATATATAGTATTACTTGGATGGTGCTGATATTGTTGTTGCAGGTGAATTAGGAACCGCTATTGGAGTTGACGCTGTCATAATTGTTTGTTTTAATTCTTCCGTTTCATTTAATATTTCCTTTGACAATGTACAAAGTACTAATGGCGATGATGAAGTAATATTATTAAGATCTTTTGATGATTCAGTTAATTTAGATGGCGATGATGTTGACGTTGTGGGTGAAGGAATTGAATCGACCCATTGTTGAACTGGGCCAGTACGACGTCGCATTTCCCAAATTCCTCTCAACCACGTTCTTACTTTTATAATTGTTTCTTTTCTTTCTGCGTTAAAAAAAAAAAGAAATTTTTTTTTTAATTTTTAATCGTTGTCTATAATATTGAAAATTATTTGATATTGCAAATTTTTTTTTTGTATTCTATTCTTAAGATTCAATAAAATATTTGTCAATATTGTTCTATTTATTTTCTTTTTTTCAAATACGCAATTAATTTTCTGAAATTAAAAATGTTTTGACATTTTTAGGTCATGGATACAATCGTTCAATTTTGGGTTTTTACCTTGAAATTGAGAACTTAAGTTTGCAGAATATGGTCAGAACAAGATTCCTCTTAAAATGGTAACATATTTCTTAGCAATTAAAAAAACTAATTTATTTTGTTAATATAAAATATAAAAAAAATATTGATAATAATAATATTAATAATAGAAATAATAGTAATAATAATAATAATAATGATAGCTAAATAATAATAATTAATAATAAAAAAAATAAATTTCTAAAACTTGTTTTTGTCCATAAAAAAAAATTTTCTATTTTGTTTTTAACTATTCTAATAAATTTAAAATTTATTCAAATTCTTTCAAGTATATCGCAGTAAAATAATCATTTCCATGAATTAATAATAACAATGAATATACATATATATATATATATATATATATACATTTTTCATGAAAAAAATAAAGAAACATCTGTTGAATATGGTTATTAATATTGCAAAGCATATTGTTTGATTTTAGACACACTATATTATTTAAATAGCATGCTATAGTTCTAAAATCTAAAAATGTATACCTGATGGATCCATTTCAGCAGCTTTACAAAGAGGCAGTGTTTTTATTAAAAATATTATTGAGTTTATATATATATTATGTAAAAAAAAAATTATTAAACCAAAAAATACGCATTATGACAAATAGAATATTTAGTAAAATCATTAAAAACAACAAACAAAAAAATACAGCTCATAACCCAGATCGTGAAACATGCTGATATTGAATATGTGTGTAATGTGATAGTTTGACAAGTTTCAACATTATATATTAAAGGAGTTTGGTTTAAAACTCACCTCTTTTTTTTTTCTTGATGAAAATTACACTATGTATGATCTTTATTAATCTTTATTGAATGTTAAAATACTTTGTTGTACATTGTGGTAAAATGTTTTTACGACTAAAACGATTTGAATTGTGCAGAGGCTATTGAGAAGCAGCCACTTGTTAATGCGGTCCCTGCATTTCTGTTTGCGACGTGTTTGCTCATCTGTGACATAACACACATGTGTGCAAGATACACACCAACTAATGCCACGAATCCAGTGCTGTACATAATTATAAAATAGAGTTGTAGTGTTTTTTATTTTATTTAAAAAAAAAAAACTAGTTTCTTTTATAATTACGTAATTGGCACACACGAAAATTTCTCAATGTTATTTTTGAAAGTTTATTTTTTTTTTTTAACCAGTTATCATTTTTATCAAGTGTTTTTTTTTTATTTTACGCAAATTTTGTTTAAAAAATAAATATTTTTAACTACCTATGTATTTTAAAATTATTTTTTATAATTTCCAAGTCCTATATTAATTTTAATTGCAAATATTTTTTGTATTTTTAAAAATTCTTTTGTTTTGTAATTTGAAAATAATTTTTATTTTTAAATAATTTAATTTTTCAACAGTTTTTTGAGAAGAGAAAATTTATTTTGATTTTATTCTCTGATGTTTCTATTCTTGAGATTAAAAACAATATACAAATTATTAATGTAACAAGAAATTTGGATAAAAATTTTCCATGTAAAATTAATGACATTCATTATACAAATATATATAAGAAGAATAAATCTTTGGTCCAAAGTACTCCCCTGACACAGACTATGGACCAGTGAACATAACCTTCAAATTAGAAAGGGTTGATCACAAATGTTTTTCTAATCCGCGTGTGTGATTGTGTAAGTGTGACGTGTGTGTAACAACAGAGTGCCTTTGAAGAAGGTTAAAAATCGTGTATATAAATTTATTTAACATTCAAAAAAAAAAAAAAAAAAAAAAAATGTCAGGAAAAGGAAAGAAATTAAAAAATAGAGTTGCTGAAAGACGAAAACGTCAAGTTGTTGGCAAAGAGGAAAGATATCGCCAGGAACAAGACAGATCTGACAAGGAAGATGGTTCAGGTTAGAAATGTAGAAAATATAATTTAAAAAAAAGGTATTTTAGTCTCTATATTTGTTTATTGAAAAAATAAGCAATGTTGTACAATTGAAAGAATTGAAAAACATTGATTGTCAAGTATTGTTTTAACATAACCTAAAAAATTTATTTTGCTTGTTCTGTCTGAAATAAAAATAGATATATAATTTAAATGAAAATTATTAATTTTCATCATAGAATCAGAAGAAGAATCTTCAATTTCTTTTCCTGTTGCCATGTGGGATTTGGAACACTGCGATCCTAAAAAATGTTCGGGTAGAAAATTGGCCAGACATGGTTTAGTGAAAACATTGCGACTTGGAGCACGTTTTGCTGGAATTGTTTTGACACCAGTTGGAAAAAAAGTATTTTAATTTCGTTCTTTAAATTTTATTTATTTTATTTTTTTTATGTATATTTTTAGGTTATTTTTCATTTACTCTGTTTTTGGACAAAAATTTAATGAAAAAAAAAATGATTTGTGCAAAATAATTAATTTTTTCTTTATATAATTTTTTCGCTTTCGAATATAGAATTTCTTTCTTTTTTTTGTACAGTGTGTGAGTCCAATGGATAAAAAAATAGTTGAAGAACATGGTTGTGCAGTTGTTGATTGCAGTTGGGCACGATTAGATGACACGCCATTTTCACGTATGAAAACGCCAAATCCAAGATTATTGCCATTCTTGGTGGCAGCAAATCCGATAAACTATGGAAAACCATGTCAATTAAGTTGTGTTGAAGCAATAGCTGCCACATTGATAATAACTGGATTTCCCGCGGAAGCTGAATTTTTTCTCAATAAATTTTCCTGGGGACACGCATTTCTTGAATTGAATTCTGAGTTATTGGAAAAATATGCCAATTGCACGAGTACAGAGGAAATTATTCAAGTACAGGACAAATTTCTATCAGATGCACGACAAGAGAAAATTGACCGACTTGGTAAATTAAAATTTTTTTTTTTATTATATAATTTACAATGATGACATAATTAATTATAATAATAATAATTATAATTAATTATGTCTCTAATTCATTGATTTAGCGAATAATTTTTTAATAAAAATTTATAAATATTTAAATTTTCGAAGTTTAGCAGTCGAATTTTTTGTTAATAATTAAATATTAAAACATATTCAATTGAAAATTCGGAAAATATTTAATAGTATAAAAAACTTTATAGGTATAGATATTTTTTTAAAATTTAATTTCGATATTTGGAAATAATTTTTATATTTCGAAGAGCTGAAATCAAAATTTTAATAATTGTATAATGAAAATTTTTAAAAATTTATAGTATAATTTTTTTTTGCAAAATAATAAATTTTATGGAATTAATGATCCTAAATACAAAAAAAAAATTCAACCTCACATTAAACTTAATGTGTAAAAAACAATAATTTTAATTTTATAATTGTTTAAATAATAATTTTATTATTAAAGAAATGTATTATGAATTTTTTGAAAATGATAAATTTTGCAGAATTTAACATAATTAGGTATATGAATTTAATAGAAATAAATATTGAAAGAGTTGCAATTATAATTTTTGATTTTTTCTATTTTTAAAAGATTTTTAATTAAAAATTTCAAAAATAATTCAATAATCGAATAATTTATGAAAAATTATGAAATAATTAAGTTTTTCTAAATAATAATAATTTAAATTATATTTTTGAAAATAATTAAATTTTCAAATAAATATTGAATTAAAAGAATTGTAAGTAATTGATAGAAATTGATTGAAAGCTTTGAAGATAATTAAATTTTTAAAAATAATTTCATTAAAACTTTTGAAAATATGTAATTAAATCTTTTTGAGTATTTGAATTGTTCTTTTATACAATGTTTGTTTAACATAGTTTTTATTTTATCGAATTTTCATTTATCATAATGATGATAATTTATATTTATTTTGTTAATTTAGTTATTAGAAGAATATTATAATAATATCAGGCCTCGGATCGACTTAAAGGCACAAAAAAAGTTGTTTCAGTCTATATACATAAAAAAAGTTGATTTTTTATTTTAACTAAATTTAATTAGTTAATAAGTATTTTATTTTAAATAATTAATGTTATTAGATACTAAATCTATTTTATTATTTCCTTAATAAGAAAAATTAAATAGGAATGTTATCAAGAAAATTTATTTCGAATATTTCAGAATCGAAGACATAAATTTTTTAATTTTTATTTAGGTAGGACAAATTTCTAAAAAAAAAATTTGATAACAATTTAATTTCAGAGTTTTTATTTGAAACTTTTTTAAATAATTGAATTTTTAAAGAAATATTACAATCATTAAAAACAATTGACCTTTGGAAGAGTTAACCCCTTCGCTGTGTAGCAGAAATAAAGCTTCCGTGCCCCGTATGTGGTAAAAAAAATTTAAAAAAAAAAAACTTGATGTTACCATACCTAAGAATACCCATTGACAAGTTTATCGTATTGTGTCTACTTATTTTTTTCTAGATGCTACTATAGCGGTCATACACACACTGGTGGCACGATATTTTTATGCCTCTATAGAGGTCAATAACAGTGAAGGGGTTAAAGTTGAAATTTTTAGAAATAATTAAATTTCAGTTAATTATGAAATTTTACAGAATTGAAAATAATTTATCAAATAATTTTAGATGAAATTTTTTAAAAGTAGATAATTAAATTTTCAAAGATGATTTTGAATTAAATTTTTTGATAAATATAATAATATAATATAATAATATATAATATAATTAAATTTTGGAAGAGTTACAGTTGACATTTTTAGAAATAATTAAATTTTAGAAGGTTTTAAATTGAAATTCATGAAAATAATTGAATTCAAATAATTTTGACTTGAAATATTTTGATGATTTCTGTTGCTGAAGAATTTATTAAAAGTTAAAAACAAACATTGAACTTTAAAATTTTTTCACTGAAAAATGCTTTCAGAAAATTGAATTTTTGATGAATATTGTAAGAATGATTAAGAAAATAATTAAATTTCGGAAAAATTATAATTGAAATTATTAAATTTCAAAAAGTTTTAGATGAAAAATTTTTTAAAATAATTAAATTTTAAAAGGTTTGAAATTGAAATTTTTTGTAATTTTATTCGATTTTTTTTTAATTGTAAACAATTGTTGAATTTTATAAAATTTTTAATTGAAAAATAATTTAAGAAGAATTTCATTAAAATTATTAAAAATAATTAATTTAGAGTAAAATTTTAGTTAATAATTTGTTAAATAATTGAAATAAAGAAGATCTGCATTGTATTGTATTTTCGAAAAAAAAGTCAGAAAAAATCATATAATTCGAGACCTGTAATATAGAAAACTTTCAATAATTATATGTATTTTATATAGCCTTTATTTCTCTGCAATTAATAATATTCTTTTAGCAATGCCGGATTTTCCACCATCGGAAAGTGAGTCTGACAGTGAAGAAGAAGAAGAAGAAGAAGAAGTAGAAGAAAAAGAAGAAAAGAATACTACTGACACCAAAGAAGAAAATTCGACATCTATATCGAAAGAAGATGCTGTTAGTATAACTGGATAATAAATAATAAATCTTAATAAATTGACTCGTTACCTGTATATATATAATTTATATATTCTTCTGATTAAGATATAATGAAAAAAATTATGTCATTGTGAATAAATGAGACTTCTAATTGTATTTTCAAGTTTTTTTCACTTCTTGCAGGTGAGGCATTTTACGTGTAATGTTCTGAGTTAAAAAATTGATTTCTCGAAAAAAAGTGAAACTTGGGGAAATTGTTGTCCTACCTGATAGTAAAATATCCAAAAAAAATTTTTTGACTTTTTTGAAATTTTGGGGTAGATATAGAGGGGGGTCAATTTTATCAGTTTTCCCTGACACCGCCTATTATTTGAATTTTTTCTGTCTATAAATGCAATAAAAAAAAATTTTTGAAGGTTTTTTCATGCTCTTTCTAATGGTGAATTTCGTTTTTTAAAATTTTTGAATTTTGACCTTGATTTTCTATAATTAATCATAAATTTGCTATTTTCATTAAAATCGATGCGATTTTTTTTTAAATAAATAATTGCAAACGAAAGCTGAGGTTTTTTTCCGATCTGTATATAAATTTTTAGAATGCCGATTTTTTTTGTTTTCGAGATATTAAATGTCAAAGATTTTTCGCCTAAAAAATATTTCTTGTAGTTTTCATTGATCAAAAAATTATAAAAAAATATTTTTTAGGCAAAACATTATAGAATTTTTCATTTTAAAAAATTATTTTTTTAAAAATCGTTTATCATAAACGTTGCGTACTTCAGTTTCGTAATTAACAGACAGAAAAAATTCAAATAGTAGGCGGCGTCAGGAAAAACTGATAAAATTAAACCCCCCTCTATCTACTCCCAAAATTTCAAAAAATTGAAAAAATTTTTACCACCATGAAGTTGGCGTCGTTTTTTACAGGACCAAAAATGCCAATTTTTTTTTTTTTAATTTTCGGTCCAAATAATGCCTTGAGAAATACTATTAAAGGTATTATGTGGACCCAAAACCTTTTTAAAGATGATTTGATATTTTTGGTCCCGTAAAAAATAACTTTCGATGTCGAGCGTCGACGCCAACTTCATGGAGGTAATTTTTGGGATATTTTACTATCAGGTAGGACAACAATTTCCCCAAGTTTCACTTTTTTTTGAGAAATCAATTTTTTAACTCAGGACATTACACGTAAAATGTATATCTTAGTTATTTTTTTTTAAATTGTTTATTTGTTTTCAGAAACTATTTTATCCACCGTCGATATAGAAGAAAATTGAGGAAATTCAAAAAAATCAAAAGGTAATAAATATTGTGTAGATGGCGGAAAAGACATCTTGCATTTTCTCTCTTTTTAAAAAAAGAGAGAAAAAAAAGTGATTGACTTTGTGTATGTTGTGCATGATTTTGAAAGGGGGATGGCAACAGCAGACTTTCTGGGGAACACAGCTGATGTTTAGTGTGTGACGTCAGTTAAACAAAGCCATGCGCGGTTGATGGTTGTGTGGATGCCGTGAGCGAGGCAATAGTAGCGAGAGGTTTGAGCATTTGAGTATCGGGCTGTCAAATACTCGGCTTCCGCGAAACGGCCTTACAAAAACAGTTACCAAATTGCGGTTGTGTTATCGCGACTGCTTGCGTTTTCCTTGTACAGGTAAAAAACGCAAAAAGGCAGTGACAAGCCCGCGAATTTTATTTTATTTGACACATCACAAGCAGCGCTTAAAGAAAAGAGAAATGCCGTTCATCTCCAAAGATTGGCGTAGTCCAGGCGAGGAATGGGTGAAAACTGTTGAAGGCTGGGAAAAAAAGAAGATCCTAGAATGTGCCAACAATAAAACACTTTCGCTTTTAATTCGGTAAGTATTAATTTCACTAAAAAAACCATTGTCATGTTAGGAAAATATAACAAAAAAGAAGAAAAAAAAAAAAAAATAGGACTCAACCATTCTGAAATCCCCGGCGCCATTCTTTGTTATTATGAAAATGGCAGGTCCGTCAAAAACATTTCTTGACTCAAGACAGCTGTTTGATTATAATTTCAATCAAATGTTCATTTTTACATTTTATTGATTCGTGAAATAAAAAATATCATCTTGTGTCTTTGTTCCCGTTGTAAATTTTTATGTCCTTTTTTAACTGTTGTCAAAAAAAAAAAAAATTTCTTTTTATTTAGAAAATTTTTGTATGATTAAATGTGGAATTTGTTTTTGTTAAGAAAGAATCTTAAAAATATAAAAAAGAAATTGTTTGTAAATAAATATTTTTTTAAATTGTGCTATAAATGAGTTTGACAGCTCTGAAGAATAATTAACGTAATTATAATTTTTGTTGCATAAATACGAAGCTAATTTTTCTTTTTTTAAAAAAAGAAGAAAAAACCGTCAAACAACGGGATTAGACTTCTTTGTTTGAAGGATTCTTGATTATACGCAGTCGCACGCTTGGCAACAGCTGTACATTGTAAACACAGTACTCAGGAGTCTCACTTTTGCGCAATGATATAACTACGATCGTTATCTGAATGATTTTCAGGTAATAATCGAGTTATTTTAATTTTCCCAAGTGATTTAGTTTTTTTTTTAAAAAAAAAAAGAAAAATTCCGTTTCCGCATTGTCATTAATATTCCGCACTTATTATTGTTTGTTTTCTATATTTGCAACTTAGGAATAATCAAAATGCAATTTTATATTTTTTGGAAGGTTTTTCCCCCAGGAAATTGGGTGCTTATTTTACTTTTGAAATAATGAACAAAATTATACAAAATTATACGTTACAAGACAAACATTTGTCACTTTTCGTATATAATTTGTTTCGAGTTTTTTTTTTTTTTTTATTACTCTATTCTATTTTAGGGAAAAAAGTATAGTGTCACTGTGGGAATTTCTCATAATTATGAAATTCTGAAAAGAAAATGGTAATATAATTTCTTTGAAAAAAGCTCAGTTACAATTTACAATTTTTTATATAAAAATTCTGGATTTTAATGATGAAATTTTTTTTCTCTTTTTTTTAGTAATAGTTTTTTGTACTAACTTTTTTGATTTTCGGACAAAAAAAATTTATATTAGTGAGAGAGAAAAAAAGTTAAAAGTAAAAAATTTGGATTTTTTTTTTAAAAGTGAGGTTAGAAATTTTCAACAATGTCAATTGACACTGATATATCTATGTGAAAATTAAAAACCAAATTACCAAAGTTTTTTTGTAATGTAATATATAAAAAAAGAACAGTTACTTATGGGATGAAAGTGAAGTATTAATTGACTTTAACCACTTTTACCACAAATAACAGTTAACGAAATGCACAATTAACGATTTCCCAACGGAAACCGTGGCGATTATTCACTTTCGTAAAGTTTCATTTCGTACCTGTTACGTGCACTTATATATATATATATAAATTTTTTTTTAATTAATTAACTCCACGTACGTATATTAAATCACTTTTTATCTCCCACTTCTGGGAAATTTATTGTAGTTGTAAACATTATACATGCGAAAGAATTGAGATCAAAGTCTGTAAAATTAGACACTTGGTAAAATCATAAAACCGTAAAAGTTCATTTCGTCAGATTCCTTTTAAATTTGAGTTGCCGGTTTTTTTCCTCTTTTTTTTTTTTTTTTTTTTTTTTTTTTAATAAAACATTTTCACTGTTACGCTTTCTTGCGCTCTTTCCGAAGACAGATGCACATATATAGTATGTGTATAAAATCTATGTAAACTCCGTCTGTATATCATATATATTATTTATATCTCGTTAAAATCAGAATTAGGTGTTCGACTTTTGCTGCGCTTAATAATAAATCCACTTTATCTTCAAGTTGATTATATTGAACTGTGAACTGATTACTTTCTCATTCATGTTCAAACATATATATATATATAGTAATGCGTAGATCAATGCATGACATTATAAATTTATTCATCTTGAGTGCAGTTATTTCTTCTTTGCATTAAAAGAACTTATGCTCTTAATATTTTGTTTTTAAAAATTTATATTTGTTTTTTATTCATTTGATTATTTATTAATTAATTAAATTATTACTTAATGAAATTCTTAATAATAATAATAAATTAAATAATTTTTAATTATAATTGTTAATTAATTATTAATATTATTTATTGTTAATTATTATTAATTATTATTAATTATTATTAATTATTAAATTTATTTTGTATCATTAATTGACATTTTTTCTAATTTTTTTTTTTTTTTGCACAAAAATATAAAAAAGGGTTTTATTTTAATATTTCATTGAAATAAATTTATTTGATTCAAATAATCGGTTCCTTGACTATTTATCAAATAAATATTTACTTGAATCAAATAATTTTTATTTTAATTAAATAAACTATATTTGAACAAATAATTTTTGTATTTGAAACAAATACCATTTAATGTGAAATTGTAAATTATTTTTTGAGACAAAAAATTATAAAAATTTTTAATGAAAAAAACGTTTTATTTATGTAATTTTTTTTTATCAATAAACATTGCAAGAAATGAAGTGAAAATTCGTGGAAAAATAATGTAGAAAAATATTTCTTTAAAAATCGTTGATCATATAAACGTTGTGTGAACTTCAGCATATTGTTATATATATATATATATATATGTTTCATCAAGTATATATGTTTGTTTATGTTGTCATTGTTATATTTTTGCTCATTGCCTTATTAAATTGTATATCATTTTTATTGAATATGAAACTAGGATATTGTCTTCAATTATTCAACGAATTGGCAATTGTTCAAATCATCTATACTTTGTACAAGCTATACTCGTTATATATTCTGATAAATTGAGAGTCTGACAATTTTTTTTTCCAGAATATTTTCATTCGCATTTTTTTATTTTTTATTATTTATTAATATAATTAATATGTAATAATCGAGGGGGAATTTACTAGTTAAAAACGTGTACACTTGACTACCGGTATTACACCTCATATTACCTTTATTACTTAAGTATTACACGTTATTACAGAGTATTACACATTATTACAGAGATATTACATGGTTTTTTGCGTTATTACAGCACTGTAATAACGCATTATTACACGGTATTACACGTTATTACACAAGTATTACAGGAAGAGTGTACACTTGACTACCTGAGTAAATTCCCCCTCGGTAATAATTAATTATACATTAATTAATATATAAATAAATTAATATACGATAATATTAATATAATAATAATAATAATAATAATATTAATACTTATTAATTTATATCTATTATTATTTCCAACATATTTAACGAGACTATATAGAAAAAAAATCGAAGACTTGAAAATTTAATAGAGTTTTATATTCTTCTACATCTAAATATATTTGAATTTTTTTGTATTTCTTAGTGTGAAAATTAAGGTTAATTGATAATTACTTCGTTAGAGAATTTAATTATTTAGATTGTCTTTCTTCTCTCTGTGGTTTTTATTTTATTCTTTTAGTTTGGTTTCTCATTTTGTTAAATTTTAGGAATTTTTAGTTTTTGTTTAATAATTCCAATTTATTACTAAAGTTTATTACTGCATTCGTAATTTTTATTATTTATTTTTTTAATTTTATTATCAACATTTTTTTACATTTTTTTTTCTTTTTTTGATAGAAAGGATTGAAAAAATAATATAATCAGCATCAATATGTGGATATATAGAGGGCTCGTAAAAAGTTTAAGGAATTTTTCTTTTGCCACATTTTTCACATAACAAGGGTTGCATTCAATAGGCAACTATGATCGACCTTGGAAGGACAATCCGGGGACAACTCGTATATAAAAGTAGGTCATGACCCAGCTCTCTGCACCAATTCTTCGATCTTCATGCTTCACTCTCAGATTTCAAATGCGCTTTATATATACATATATATATTTATATATACATGCCAATAAAGGATGATTCATTAGAAAAGCTTCATATATTCAAAAAAAAAAAGCTTTGAGTCCTTTGCCGCATCCTATATAGAAATTGGCAAATGTTATTAATCCAAGCTTGTCGTATTTCAATATTTGCTTTTTTCAATATATAGAAAAGAATTTTTATCAGAGAATACATTTTTTTCTATATATAAAAAAGAAAATTGGTTGTTGCAAATATATTTTATTTCATTGAAATAAAAAATTTATTTGAGGTAAAGAAAAATTTATTTGTGACAAATAAAACTTTTATTTACGCCAAATAAATAAGTTAGTAGGCTCTGAGACAAATATACGTTTATTTAACTCAAATATATTTTATTTGGTTCAAATAAATCATTTCTCTGCGTGAGTCAAGTAACCGATTATTTGAATCAAATAAATTTTTTTCAATGTAGTAATATTTCTACTAATCTTTTAGTTTAAAAAACTAGTTATAATAATAATAATAATAATAAAATAATAATAATAATAATAATAATAATAATAAAATAACTAATATTGTATTATAATTAAATTCACTTTTCGGTTATGATAAAATAAATAAAATTTCTGGTAATTAATTCAGTTATAGTAAAATTTGACTATTTTTTATGAGCCAAAAGTGTTGAACGTTCAAATGAACAAATTTTTTTTTGTAACTTTTTAAATACGAATTTTATTACAAAATATTGTTTTAAATATCTAAAAAGAAGTTATTAATTTAATATTAGTTTAATTTACTGTTTTATTTTACATTGACATTATAATTTTTAATAATTTATAGATTGAAAAAAATATTTTGTTCATTTGAACGTTCAACACTTTTAAGTCATTATTTTTTCAGTTATTTTTCTAATGAAAATGAATTACTTTTTACTAATTATCAGTTGTTTTTTTTTACTAATTGTTGAAAGAGAAAAAATCAGATTTTGAGAGTATTAAAGCTAATTTTTACT